CCAGCCCTGATTCGGTTCCCCCGTATCTATTTCCCCAGCCAGCATTTCCATTCCCAGCCTTGGTGCTGAATCCTCCCCAAGCACCAGAAGCCATGGGCAGATGTTTATGAGGATGGAAATAATAATTATGATAATAATGACGATAACAAGTACTCCAAAACAAAACTAAGAACAGTAATAATGCTACGGCGGCTTGCGTTTCCTGAGCAGCAAAAAGAGGCGAAGCTGCCAGTGGCGCTTCAGGGGTTAAACCAGCAAGGCTTAGGATGCTCGAGAGGACGGAGGGGAGCCAAGGGGGGACACGGGGGGACGGCACTCCCGTTGCACCTTCCTGTCACGCTTCCTGGCCCTCCTTGCCCTTCTTCCTCTCTCCCCGTCTCTCTGCAAAAGGGGCTTTGGACGGGGGGAAGCTGCCGTTGGCGGCTGGCCCAGCTGCAGGCAGTGAGTAAAGGGTGGGTCGGAAGGGGACGGAGAGGAGAGAAGGGCTTGGCGGGGAAAGATGGAGAAAGGGCGCTTCTGGCCATCGGAGGGGCCGCCTTCTGCCCCCTCGGGGCGGCTCTGGCTGGCCAGAGCTGGTTTTCCGGCTGGGGACGAGCAGGAGAGGACGGTTGTCCCGCCCCACAGGAAAGGGGGCAACCCCCCCCCCAGCCGCCCCGCTTCGGGCTGAAAGGAGATCGCAGCAGAGGCCACAGGCGACCCTGGGCTTTGTGGGGGTCCCAGAAAGGTGTGGAAAATGGCAGCCCCCCTTTTCTCCACAGAAGCTTTAGAGCCGGGCGGGGTCTTGGAGATCAGCTAGTCCAACCCAGTTCAGTGTGGGGTAGTGGTTATGGGGCTGGTCTAGGAAGCAGGAGACAACAGTGGAGACCTTAGCATTAAGTATATGAGTATATAGTATAAATACATACTATAAATATAGTATAAAGTATATTCAGTAGTATAAATATTATATAAGTATAAAGGTAGAACCCTTTATGATATATTAAATAATTTAATGCATTTCGCAGTTGTTCACATCCAGCTTCAGATGTAAAATTTAAGTAGTCTTAAGCAGCTGATCAACGTGAACATGTTAGAAATCATGAACAAGATTGATGTAAATTTTCTTTTTAAAGGTTTAAATGAGCGAAATATCAGAGTGTTAATCATCTCTGCTCAACACTGTAATTACCACTGTCTCCAAATGATATAATGTACCATTTGTCTTTTATAATCACACAATAAAACAATATAAAAGGGGAAAGGGGGGGGCGAGTAAATAAATAAATAATATGTTTTTTTAAAAACCATGACGCTGTGAGTTCTAGTCCTCCCTTAGGCGTGGAAGCTGGTTAGCTGACTTTGGACCTGTTGTTCTCTCTCAGCCCAGCCCACCTCACAGGGCTGTTGTGGTGGGAAAAAGGCAGGAGCGCTAGTCATGCCAGAAGTTGTACAAAATAAAGGTGGGATATAAATCTAATAAATAAAACTCTTGCTTAGTGCAGGATCCTCTGGAGCAGTATTTCTCAACCTTGGCAACTTTAAGATGTGTGGACTTCAACTCCCAGAATTCCC